TTATGCTAATCCATCTTAATTTTGTTATGCCCAAAAATCATAACCCCTACATGTATTGAAGCTGATCTCATCGTCCATTTGGATTCATAATCTTAGAGAAAATAGCAGTCTGATCTCAGCTGTCGGAGAGAGCAAACTAGCCATCGGAAGAGAGATGACGACATCTCTAACGAAGTGAGAGTGGCCGGTAAGGCGGTGGCGAGGGAGGCCATAGACTTTATCTTCCTTAGTGAGGTGCTAGACTATGAGGGATCTGTTGTGAGAGAATGTGACGATCATGTCCGAGTTATCGATTGGGGTTGCGAGGGTCACCCAGTCTCATGGCGGTGAAGGCGGTGGAGGCGGAGGTGGAAGTGACGGCGACGACCATTGAAGGGAGTGAAGTGAGGTTGGGATTTAGAGAGAGAGAGAGAGAGAGAGAGAGAGAGAGAGAGAGAGAGAGAGAGAAATGAGTTTGATTTGAGAAAGTTAAATTTCTCTGCGATATATGGGAAGGGATCTTAAACATTATAAAAAAATATTGTGGATCTCTTCCATTACCAAAAATGAGAAAGGGATCTTAAACTAATTTTCTCTAAAATTTTCCAACATAAGTGAAATATGTTACATATTTTTTGGAAAAGTATACTTTTCCAACATAAAACAAACATAGAATTTTATGTGCTCACACAATAAAACAACAGTGTTAGAGATACCAAATTTTTTATTAAAAAATATATCAAATATTTAAATGAGCGTGAGTTTCACATGAGTATGGATTTCACATCCATACGAGTGATTCGATAAACTTTTTAATAATTTATTTTGTATTCCTAACATTTTTCATAAAACAAAGCACCAAACCATTTATTTATCTGATTGAATTGCTTTTTTGTTTTTTAAACATCAATTCGATGGATTATTTTATTATGAAAAATAATATAATAGTTCACTTTTTAAACTCATTTTATAGATTTAATGATATGTGAAAAAGATAATTGGTTGACAATTAGAGAATATTTAATTATTAATTAATTATCTTCTTGACATATCACTGGACTTAGAAAGTAGGTCTAATTTTTAAATCAATCCCGCTAGGTAGCTTGAACTTTTTTTTTTTTTTTTTTTCTTTTTCTCTTTTTTTCTTCCTCCACCTCTCTTCTTCCTCTTCTTCCTTTGTTCTTTCTGAATCCAAACTAAAATCAAAATCAATTTTTTTTTCCCCTTCTTCCTCTTATTCCTTTCCTCTCTCTTTTTCCTTTCTCTTCCGGCAAGCGAACAGTCTAAAAAGAAGAAGAAGAAAGAATAGAAAGGAAAAGAAAAGAAAAGAAAAGAGGAAGAATAGAAAGAGAGAGATACATTTCATTGCAAAAGAAGAAGAAGAAAAGAATAGAGAGTAGAGATAGGAGAACAAAAAGAAGAAGGAGAAAAGGAAAGGAGGAAGAAGAAAAGAAGAGAAAGAGAACAGAGGGAGAGAGAGATATACACAGATCTATGTCTGTATACACACAGAGGAGGGTCGCAATGGGCAACGGTGATGGCGGCGTCGATGGATGGAGGGGTTTGCGACGGTAATGACGGTGCTGGTGGATGCTTTGTTCCCTCTTCCTCTTCTCTCTTCCTTCTTCTTTCTTCTCTCGTCTCTCTGTTTCCGAGAGAAAAGAGAAGAAAAACAAAAGACCAAAACAACGTCGTTTTGGTATTTGGGTCACTTCAGCCTCTAAAATGTCAAACTACGAAGCAATTTTCTTTTTAAATTTGGGTAGCAAATTTTTTTTTTTTATTATTATTTTCATTATACCTGAGTCACTCACGTATTCCTTACCTTTCTTTAAGCTTCATTATTGCTTACTACTAAATTATTCTTCCAGAAGTGATCTTAAATTGAATTAAGCAACCCCTGGGATGGGTTCAGTGCATAGAGCTTAGCATTAAAAACTCTTTAATCCGTAATTGAGTCTCCGTCACTTTTTAGTGTGGTATCCTTGCGTTTTTCTGTTCCACTTTGTTGGTTCAACATTATAAATCTTGTCCGGCGATGGGATTTGACTAAGCTTGAGTCACAGAATATTTAATTATTAATTAATTATCTTTTTAATATATTGCTGAATTTAAAAAATAAATTTAATTTTTAAATTTATGTAACAATAATTTTATTATTTTATTATTATTTTCATTATACCTGAGTCACTCACGTGTTCCTCACCTTACTTTAAGCTTCGTTATTGCTTACTACTAAATTAATTTTCTAGAACCGATCTTGAATTGAATTAAGCAACCCCTGGGATGGGTTCAGTAGATAGAGCTCAGCATTAAAACCTCTTCAATCCGTAATTGAGTCTCCATTACCTTTTAGTGTGGTACCCTTGTGTCTCCCGATTCTAGTTTGCTGGTTCGACACTAGGAGCCTAGGGGTGAGCATGGTCCGAATTGGACCGGATTGGGATAAAATCAGGACCAATCCGTTATCTACGGTTCCTGAAAAATTGAAACCAATCCAATCCGTTTAAATGATGGAACCAATCCGAACCAATCCATTTAAACCAGAAGTGATCTTAAATTGAATTAAGCAACCCCTGGGATGGGTTCAGTGCATAGAGCTTAGCATTAAAAACTCTTTAATCCGTAATTGAGTCTCCGTCACTTTTTAGTGTGGTATCCTTGCGTTTTCCTGTTCCACTTTGTTGGTTCAACATTAGAAATCTTGTCCGGCGATGGGATTTGGCTAAGCTTGAGTCACAGAATATTTAATTATTAATTAATTATCTTTTTAATATATCGCTGAATTTAAAAAAATAGATCTAATTTTTAAATTTATGTAACAATATTTTTTATTATTTTATTATTATTTTCATTATACCTGTGTCACTCACGTGTTCCTTACCTTTCTTTAAGCTTCGTTATTGCTTACTACTAAATTAATTTTCTAGAACCGATCTTGAATTGAATTAAGCAACCCCTGGGATGGGTTCAGTACATAGAGCTCAGCATGAAAAACTCTTCAATCCGTAATTGAGTCTCCATTACCTTTTAGTGTGGTACCCTTGTGTCTCCCGATTCTAGTTTGCTGGTTCGACACTAGGAGCCTAGTCCGGCGATGGGTCTGGCTAAACCTGAGCCACGTCTTTTTTTGTAATAATAATAAATGAATAAAAATTGAATTAAGCAATTCTTAGCCCAATAACATTGACGAAATTTCTCCAAAAACAAACATTGACAAAATGTCTTCCAAATATATGTATATAATTTTTTTTGTTGGACTCGGGATTTATCATAAATTTTATTTTGATAATTTGAATGATTTATTTTGTAAGGTCATCCATGCATATATTGGTTTCGTTTGAGAAGTTGGCTATTTTAGTAGACTATTTTTAGTTTTTGGCTATTTTAATAGGTTAAAATTTTTGTGTTTGGGAAGATGATTGGATTTTTTTAGAGTTAAATGTGATATTTGTGAGAGAAAAAATAAAATGAATATGGGTTTAATGTGACATTTTCTCTTATTAGTTATTTTACTATTTTGTCTTGTTGTAGATTTTAGCCTAAAAGAAGTCCTAAACCCGCTTTCCAAACAGAGCCATTATTCATAAAAAAAATCAAGTCAATCCGATAATATATACAATTTATTTCATGTCTTTTAAAATTAGATGACAAATATATTTTAAAAATAGAATGTTCATTTTTTTTTGGTGACAAACGCAAAAAATTAAACATGTTATAATTGACCTTTTTTTTTTTTTTTGAACTAATATGTATGAAATACTCTGTAAAATGAATAATTTAAGTCATCAACACAGCACCTATGATAGACTCCACAAATTCAAATAGCACCCTCTAGACTCGAAGCAATCTAGACCCAAGTGGTAACATGGAGCTTGAATTGACATTGCTGGTTTTTTTTGTTTGTTTGTTTTGTTTTGAACACTAGTTTGTTTGTTGGTTTTGAAGACCTTTTCAATATTCTGTTTTCACATAATGGAACAAATCACAGTATAATTGCTATATACATTATTCAGGCCGGCCCTATTTTTTGGGGGCATAAGGCAAAATAAAAATGGAGGCTTATGTTTACAAAGACAAAATAATTATTCTATTTCGTATCATTATCGTCGATTGATATTAAAATGTATTCATAGAAAAAAAAATCAAAATTTGGAAAACTTTATTCAATTAAAATGTATTGGATATGTATTAAATTAATTGTTATTTATTGAATATGTTGTTTATGAGTATGGTTGCATTGTTGTTTATTGAATATGTTATGTATGAATGTGATTGAGATTGAATTAATTGTTCATTCCACTAAAATCTGATAAACAAGAAAAGTAAAAAAAATTGGGACAAATTTATTTATTCCATTAAAAGATGATAAAAAAATAAAATAAAATAAATCAGGGGCCCTATTTTGGGCCATTAACATTTTGTATGTGTATATAGTGTTTCTTATTCAAGGCCACTAACATTTTGTATATTTTAATTTCAATTGGGCCAAACCACACTTATAAACAATTATGGGCTCAACGGAATATTTTTAAATCCTTTAGATTAGTCCTGAAACAACAAAAATAAAGAAATTGTCCCAGACTCCCAATAGGGGTGACCTCCACCACCCCCACTAGTTTTTGATTGGCCCAAATTTTTTTTTTTTTTTTTCAAGTCTTGCTCTCACAGCAAGACAAGTGACACTTGGGGTGTTGGGTCGCCCCCACTGAGGGTCCAGCACGGTTGCAAAAATAATTTGAACCTATTTATATTTATAATATACTATAACATTTTTCTAAATTTGAGTCCCTATCTTAAACTAATATTTTGGGGGTTAAGACATAGACCTTAATGGTCTTAGCCTAGGCCGGTTCTGATATTATCAATTAATTATTCACTGTGTCCAAGAGATATTGCAACAAAACAATAAGTTATTCATCTGCGTGGGCCGCATGGGAATAAATTTTCTATATTATTGGCCTCATTTTTCATTGGACTATCATGTTATATAAATGCATATATACTGCATCAGCATCATTGTAGTTATCACTAATACAAAAGCCTAACCACAGAGCAAAACAGAGAGAGAGAGAGAGAGAGAGAGAGAGAGAGGATCATGGATACAAAACAGAGCAAAATGAATGTCCTAATGCTACCATGGTTAGCCCATGGTCACATCTCTCCCTTCCTAGAGCTTGCCAAAAAACTCATACAGAGAAACTTCCACATATATCTGTGTTCAACACCAATCAATCTCAAATCCATCAAGAAAAGAATTACAGATAAGTACTCTCACTCCATAGAATTAGTAGAAATACACCTTCCATCATTGCCTGAGCTCCCTCCTCACTACCACACAACCAATGGCCTCCCAATTCATCTCAATTCCACCCTCCAAACAGCCTTTGAGATGGCAAGCCAAAGCTTTTCCAACATCCTCAAAACACTACGCCCAGACTTGGTTATTTATGATTTCAGCCCATCATGGGCACAATCCATTGCTTCGTCGTATAATATTCCTGCAATTCAGTTCATGATTTGTGGAACTATGGTGATTTCTTTTAGCCATCATATGGTTAAGAACCCCGGTGTTGAATTTCCATTTCCGGCAATTCAGCTTCAGGGATTCCATGAAGCGCGGTTTCGTCATTTTATCGAGACTGCTACAAAAAAATTCGAAGACAGACAAGTTGCCCCTGTAAACGATCAACCATCTTGCAACTTTATGTTGTACAACACTTGTAGAGAGCTTGAAGGAAAATACATCGATTACCTGTCGGTTGTAGATGAGAAAAGGGTTGTCCCTGTTGGTCCACTTATTCAAGGCATGGTCGACGATGAAAACGAGCACTCTGAGATCATACAATGGCTTGACAACAAGGGTGAGTCCTCCACTGTATTTGTTTCCTTTGGGAGTGAGTATTTTATGTCCAAGGAAGAGATTGAAGAGATAGCTCATGGGTTAGAGCTTAGTAAGGTTAATTTCATATGGGTTGTTAGGTTTCCTAAGGAAGAGGGAGTTGAGCTTGAAGATGCACTTCCTCAGGGGTTTATTGAGAGGGTAGGAGAGAGAGGATTGGTTGTGGAGGGTTGGGCTCCACAGGCAAGAGTTCTAGCCCATTCAAGCACTGGTGGCTTGGTAAGTCACTGTGGATGGAATTCAGTATTGGAAAGCCTAAAGTTTGGGGTTCCAATTTTAGCCATTCCCATGCATCTGGAGCAGCCATTGAATGCTAAACTGGCGGAGGAGTTGGGTGTGGCTGTGGAGGTGAGCAGAGACATCAATGGAAGACTCAACAGAGAAGAGATAGCACAAGTAATAAGGAAGGTAGTGGTGGAGAAAAGTGAGGAGGATGTAAGAATTAAAGCAAGAGAATTTAGTGAGAAGATAAGAATGAAAGGAGAGGAGCAGATTGATGAGTTGGTAGAAGAGTTGCTTCAACTATGTAAGTTGAAATATTTGGGAGATTAGAAAGAGCTGTAAAAGATGCTTTGATCTGGTTTGTTGCTTTCTATTTTTAAGAAACATTTCCATTTCTAAATCTGTCCACATACTACTACGTAGGGACATTTTCTCAATTTGTTTTCATTTCTATTTGTATGAAACTCTGGTCTTCGTTTTATATCTAGTGTGCTTTTGAAGTAGGAGATGGGTTTTGTTTTTCACAAAATGCTATCTGCCAAGAAAATTTAGTTTGAATTGTAGTCCAAGCAAGTGTGCAGTGTAAATTTAAAATTGGTGAAAATTGGATAGATTGAATGTAGTCCATTGATTCACGAATAAAGTTTAAAGTAATTTTTATAAGTATGTGATATTGTTATTAGTTGTTGGGTTGTGTTGGAATGAAAATTGGTTGTATTGTTTGATCATTTGTTATTATTAGTAAAAGTTATTCTTTTTACTTATAAAAAAAGAAAAGAAAAAAAATCTTATATTGTAATTCCTCCTTTTACTGATTTTGCACTTCCCTCACAGTTTTGGTAATTTTAGATGGGTCTAGTCATCTATTTTAGTGGCAATAGTTCATATTGAGTATTCCATCAGAATTGTTAAGGAGTTTCAGTCCTAAATTCATTTTATGGACTTCAAAGGTCACAGATTCACGTGGCTTTTGTTTGGATTCACAAGAACAACCAGGTATTAATCGTTCAAAATCAAAAGGCTATAGATTCACGCGTTTTTATCTGTCCAAATTATAGAACAAATTCAAAATTAATCTTAAATTAATATTACTTACCATATGTTCAAATTGACATGTCTATTTGTCCAAATTATGGGACCAATTCAAAATTAATATTATGTACCATTTGTTTAAATTGATGTGTCTATCTGTCCAAATTATATTATAATACAAATAAATTAAAATAGTTTGGACAGATAAGCCAAAAAAAAAAAAAAAAAGATAGATAAGACAAATACTAGCACTTATAGATTCAATTTGGACAGATAAGATACGATGGATAGATTGAAATAATTTGAACATATAGATTAAAAGTATAAAAATATTAGCATATATAGGTTAAAATAAGTTGGACAGATCGGTTAAAAATATTGGACAGATATGTTAAAATAATTTGGACAAATAATTAAGAAAAATAGATTAAAATATTTTAGATAGATAGGTAGGTTAAAAAAATTGAACAAATATGTTAAAAACACTAAGAAAGATAGGTTAAAATATTTTGAATAGATAGGTTCAAAAAAATGAACACATAAATACAAATTTAGACACATAGATGATATTTATGGGACTAAAGTTCTTAAACCCCTTAGTGCATTCACCAACAAATGTTCTTATGTCCCCAACAGAAACACCTGTGTCCTCAATAACATATATAGGTGGGAATGTGAATTTATCAAGGATTTTTCCAATTGTTAATGGGTTGTACTTGATGTAATTGTTTTTGTTTAAAAAATAATTAACAATTAAAAATATATCTTTCTCAACATAAGATAACCAAATTTTTAAAATTATTTCAATCTTAAAAATTACACGCAAAAAAAAAAAAAAAAAAAAATTACACGCAAAAAAAAAAAAAAATATGCAGCATATTTTATTTTTTATTTTATTTTTGTGAATGACAGAAATTGTATTACTAGATCAAGGCTAAAGCCTTACACAAACCAATAGGGGGATTACAAACCCAATTGGGTGGTAGAACTCCATTAAAAAAGGCCTTTGCTGCCCAATGGGCTATACTATTAGCCTCGCGTGGAGTTCATAGAAAGGAAAAATTACATTGAAAAGCCATGCTCTGAATGTCTTCGATGATAGGAGCACAATCCCAAGGAGGGTCGTCCTCTGAGACACACAAATAGATCACTGCTTTGTTATCTCCAGCAATCTCCACCTGATAGAGATTGAGGGACCGAACCTTGAGACATGCCCATCGAACTGCCATAGCTTCATCTTGCATAGCTGAACCCACTTCCACAAAACGAACTGCACCTTCCACAAGCAGGCCTCTGCTATCACGAATAAGCACTACCATTGAAGCTCTAGACGATCCAGGTTTTAGGGCCATATCCAAGGTTGTTAAGATCGGGATCCTACGTAGGATCGTTTTGGGAGTCTGGAGGATCGGATCGTAGGATCGGATCAAGGATTGTAAGATCCTACTAAAACGATGAAAAAATGCAATAATTCTTATATGTCTAACTAATACTATCAAAATACATATAAAATGACCCAAAAAAACTTGAGAATGTAGCTCAAATGGTAGAGCTCTCATACTTATGAGCAGATCGAGGTTCAAATCCTCGCATTCTCACTTGTGCACTAACAATAATCAATTCAAATATACATTTTGCACATTTTTTTAAGCAAAGAAAACATAATAAAAGAAGGCGGCAATTCAAGTTGTCATTCAAACATTTTCCTCAAATCTTAACAAAAGAACATACTAAAAGAAAATAGCAATTCAACTTCAAGTTAACACTTGCACAACATTGATATCCTTAACAAAACAGACTAAAATAAGAGAAGAATAAATAAACAAGAGACTAAAATATGTCATCATCTTCATCGCCGAAATCTTGATTGCCACAATCAACAACATTGTCGATCTCATTGTCTCCCTCATCTTCATCATCACCCACAGTGTCACCCAACTCCTCAATGTCATCATCACCAATAGTAGCATCATCAAAGTCATGATCAAAATCCCTTGGAGCATTCATGTTGTCATCCATATCATCATCATCACTTACTTTATGAATTTCATCGACATTTTCTGCAATATGGTCACGGCCTAAGTTGGAGTAAAAAAAAAAATCCAAACTAAATCCAAATTGCAACTTCTAATTAAAACTAAAAGATGTATCATGTACCTAGACTTACATGCTTGTTCCAAATCCCTTGCAAGAGCATCTGCCTCCTCATCTTCTGGATGACATCCATGTCGAGCATTCCTATCAAGCATATGCAACCAATTTCCTTCTCTTGGAAGAGTTGGATTCTCTCTCTCTGTTATCCACTCATCGTCTGATGGAACATCATCCAAACATAATGGATTCATGATTGATTGTCTATTCTTGTGCCTTTGTCTCAGTTTCAAATTGTACATGACAAAGACCAATTCATTCATTCTCTTTTGGTGTAAACGATTCCTCCGCTTTGAGTGTACCATCTTAAATGCACTCCAATTGCGCTCACACCCCGATGAACTACATGTTAGACTTAATACCCTGATTGCAAACCTTTTCAACTCAGGACATTCATCACCAAAAGAGTCCCACCAATCCCCTACATTGAAATTTTAATTAAGTAGTTCAAAATTTAAAGTTCTTCAAAACAAATAATCATAACATAAGATTGATACAACTTACAAATCAACTTAAGTTAGGGTAAAAATAAATAACCTGGAGATTTCTTTTTTCTAGTCAAGATTGCATTTTGTATACCAAAGAGTCCTCTTGCATTCTTGAATGCATCAATTTGCAAATCTATCTTCACCCTCTCATTAGTGTCAGGGACCATCTTTTCAAGACATTTGTACAACCCAATTTTAATCTCTGCATTAGCTTGAAAATTGGGACTGTAATGAAGTTGAGGGTTCAAGAAGTATGCTGCAGCATGCAATGGGTGATGGAGTTGGGTTTCCCATCTTCTATCAATGATGGCCCATATAGGATCATAGCTGACACAATTTAATAAATATTATTAATGAATAAATAAAAAGTTTAGGGAAATAGTATTAAAGAGTAAATAAATAGCCAACACTAAATAAAAAGTTTACCATCTTAGGACATTATTGAAATTCTTTTGAATTTCCTCTTTCGCACGATCCATTGCTTCATAAATGAATCCCATTGCCGGATGCTCATCCGAATCCACCAACCTAACTACCTTAATGAGAGCTACTGCAGCCTTCAAGCAGGTAGAAACACCCTTCCAAAAATATCGATTGTCCAAAACAATATTTTTAGTTTTTTTCCCCTTTTCAGACTTCGCAAATCTACTATTCCTCCACTTGTTTGATGTAAATAGAGAGAACAATGCACCTTTTTGCTCATGAAGACGTCTCAATGTCAAGTAAGAGGTAGCAAACCAAGTTACCGTAGGCCTTTACAAGTTATAACACGATGAACTTGTATTTCCTTCTCAAAATCTTCTAACATCAAATCTATGCAATAGGCGGCACAAGGAGTCCAAAACAAGCCCTTTCTCTTATCCATTAACATTTGTCCCGCCAATTTATAATTAGAAGCATTGTTATTTACAACTTGCACAACATTTTCTTCTCCAACCTTCTCAATAACCTCATGTAACATCTCAAAAACCTTTTCACCCGTTTTTGAAATGTCGGATGTATCCAGTGATGACAAGAAAATAGTTCCATTAGGGCTATTCACAAGAAAATTACATATGGATCTTCTCTTTCTATCTGACCATCCATCCGACATAATTGTACATCCGGTCTTCTTCCATTGTTCCTTAAACTCATCAACCAATTGTAGTGTCTCATGCACTTTTTTTTTTTAAAATGTCACCCTAATTTCATGGTAAGATGGTGGCACAAGTCCTTTTCCATAATCCCCAATCTTCTTAACCATGAGTGGAAATACAGGGTTGTTGACACAATTGAAAGGAATTGCACTAGTGTAAAAAAAAAACGAGCTATGGTTTGACAAACATCATCTCTCTCTTCTTTCTTAAACATTTGATTGAGAGTTTTTTTATTTTGACGTCCAAATTTCTTCATCACAAATTTATCCATGGCACCCACCCGTTTTTGTTTGTTTTGATGATGGCATGATAAAAGTTCCACCTCCTCTTCAGAATCATCACCAACATCAAACATCTTTCTCTTTTTATTTTGAGACTCTAATGCTTGAGTTCTTAAAAGACTCATGAACTTTCCTCTAACATCTTCTGGGACTTGAGGACATGGCTCAACATTTTGATGAGTACAAGCTAAATGATGTTTTAATCTATATATACCTCCCGATCGAGTCACATTACAATACTTGCATTGTACCTTTTTGGTTGCAGCATCTATTTCAATTCCATGTTCCCAACCAGGATCCGTTCGGTTACCCGCAACATTTTTCCTCTTCCTCCCTCTTCCAGAACCAGAGGCAGACATTGTTAACTCAATTGACAAACCTACAATCATATATTGAATATCACTGAATCAAT